TTTTTAAACAAAACAACCTTGTTTGTGCCCCTAGTTTTTTTTTTTTTTTTTGTTTGTTTTTCATTTAAGATCACTTGCAAAATTTAAATCGGTCCTGTCTGCTAAAGACTTTCAGATCACAGTGCAAGATGATATTTCCTCTCACCTTGACTACTGCAGTGCACTCTATGTAGGAATCAGTCAGTCAGCCTTTTCTTGTCTGTAATGTCTGTAATGTGGCTGACTAATGTGTGGGTTTTTTTATGACTTGTGAATTGCTTTTATGTGTTATTTTGTGTGCCAATGTGTAGCCTAATTACTGTTTGTGGATTTGATATCAGATCAACAACTCTTAAAGACACCCCCCTGCTAATATGTAAATAACAGAGTACCAGCACTTTTTTCCCCACTTTGAGCACTGCTGTTCATGGCATTTGGTATTCACCCATGTCTATTGTTTTTATGCCTCTGCTGGCAATGGCCTCACCCAGAGATACATTAGGTTTCAAGTTGTCCATCCATCCAATACGTGCATCCGTACAATTCTTATGAATGTGATATCTCAGGAACACCTTGAGGAAATGTATTGAAATTTTGCACAAATCTTTACTTGGACTCAAAGATGAACTGATTAGATTTTGATGGCCAAATGTCAGTGGCCTTACTTTTGTCCCATACCCATGATTTTGACTGGTTGGCAGAGGCATACAACTGTGAAGCAGTAATTCTAGTTCTTGAATAACTTTCACACTTATAATGATGTCAATGTGATTCCAAATGCTGGGGGAAGGTTTTCATACTCAATGAATCATATTTTGAAGGTCAAACTATGGGAATATTACTTTTAGGTGTTCTGGCACTATGGGGAAACTCAGTTTTATGTTTTATGTTTGTCATTTTAATGGATTTTACTCTGGTTTGAAATTATTAATTTCATGTTTAATGTATAATGTTTATTGGTTTAATGTTTTTCTTTGCCTATGTAAAACACCTTGGATTGCTTTTGTGTGTGAAATATGCTATATAAATAAAGTTGACTTGGACTTTGAACCTGCCTTTCCAAACTGCTGGATTCACTTGTTACTGAATCTTTATTTTCTTTGTACCTCTGGTCAGGACCTGTCTGTTTAAATTTTCTATAAACTCTAACTAGATTCTAGTTTGTTCATGTTAATGATAAATCTGCCACACCGACTAAAGTTAGCCATGGAGTTCCACAGGGTTCTGTGTTAGGTCCGATTCTCTTCACTTCATACATGCTCCCTTTAGCAATATTATCAGGAAACACAGCATTAATTTGCATTACTATGCACTTACTTATATTTATCTATGAACTGAGATGAATCAGATTAGTTTGTCAGACTTTGTCCATCTATTCGTCCATTATCTATACTGCTTATTCTATCAAGGGTTGTGGAGTGGCTGGAGCCTACTCCAGCTGACACTGGGTGAGAGACAGGGTACACCCTGGACAGGTCACCAGTCTCTACCTTTAAGATTAGACTTAAGACTTTCCTTTGTGATAAAGCTTACAGTTAGGGCTGGATCAGGTGACCCTGAGCTTTCCCTCAGTTATGCTTGCTGTGTTTTCTCTCCTTGTACCATTCTACAGGTATCCCTGGTTCTGGAGTTCTACATTTGTTATAAACGGTCATATCAACTTGCCCACTAGTTTAGTTTAGTTTAGTTTAGTTTAGTTTAGTTTAGTTTAGTTTAGTTTAGTTTAGTTTAGTTTAGTTTAGTTTAGTTTTCTCTCTCCTCTTTCCACTCACCCCAACCGATTGAGGCAGAAGGCTTCCAACCAAGAGCTGCTGTCTATCAGAGGTTTCTCCTGATAAAGGGAGTTTTTCCTACTCACTGTCGCCAAATGCTTGCTCAGGGGGAATTTGTTGGATTTTGCTCTATAATACAACACCAAATCAGTTCATAGTTGGGACGATTTAAAATAAAAATTTAAACTGAAAGTAGTGATTTGTAAATCATCTATGTCCTGTATTACAGCACATTATTTGATGTGATACCTCATCAGTTTTATTCTTTGTTCAAAATAAATACTCACTTCAATTCTGATGCCTGCAACACGTTCTAAAAATGGTTAGGACAGTTGCATTTCAGGGCAAGTAATGAGCTACAGCAATGAAATGACGATTCCAGCTGAAACAGGTGATGTGAACAGGTGGCTCCAATCATGATTTGGTACAAAGGTGGCATCAAGGAAAGGCTGAGCCCTTTAGGATCACTATTTTGCCAACATATATGTGGGGAAATTATTGAAATGTTTAAAAACAATGTTCCTCAATGAAACATAGGAAGGAATTTGAATATGTCACCTTCTATGGCACATAACATAATTAAAAGATTCAATAAATATGGAGGGATTTCAGTGCATAAAGGGCAAAGGCAGCAAAACTGTACTGTGCCAAAAGGAAGCCCTATGTCAATAGTGTCCAGAAGCGCTGTTGACTACTCTGGGCTTGGAGGCATCTGGGATGGACCATCACACAGGGGGAAACGTGTATTGTGGTCAGATGAATCGGTATTTTAGGTATTTTTTGGAAGGAATGGACACTGCACACTGCTCTGGACCAGACTGTTGTCAGCAACAAGTCTAAAATCCAGGGTCTGTCATGGTCTAGGGTTTGACAAAGGGAACTTACACTTCTGTGATGGCACCTTTAATGCTGAACAATGCATAGAGATTTTGGAGCAACATATGCTGCCTTCAAGACGACAACTTTTCCAGGGACGCTGATGCATATTTCAACAAGACAATGAAAAACCTCATATTGCACACATTACCAAGACATGGCTGTGGAGGAAAAGGGTGTGAGTGCTGGACTGGTCAACCTGCAGTCCCAAGCTGCTTTAGGCATCTGTATGTTTTGTATTTATTCCATTTTGCCTTCTCATGCTTATCAGATTGATTTGCCTCTAGTTTCATGTTTTGTGGTATGTTTTCACCGCCAGTTTTGTTACTAATATTAGTGTAATTACCTAGGTCAACGACATTACTACCATTGTTATGTATTTCCCTTACTTAGTTTCTCAGTCTGTGTTCATTAGTTATCCCAGGATAGCTATCATACTTATTTGCCAGTTTCATTTATCTTTATTAGTCACCCTGTGTGTTTATATTTTTGGTCTCTATACTACTGTGTGTCATTTTCTCATGTGCACTTGTTTCCCACAATCCCTATGGTTATCATTAAAGTCCTGTAATCTTCTTGTTTTGAGTCTGCATACCAATGACAGTGGATGCAGCTCTAACATTCATTACTTAACAGTTACAAGTTAACCTCACTCAGTTCAGTGCATGTACAGTGTCCACTGTGGATGTCTTTGACAAAACAGCAGCAATCAAACAATGGAGGGTGACAGACAGAGACTCACTCTGAAGAGAGAAGTTGGGATAATAGGAGCTGTGTCATTCATTGCTGGATCCATGATAGGATCTGGGATCTTCATATCACCCCAGTATCTACTGTCCACTATTGGAAGCCCGGGGGCTAGTCTAATTATATGGGCCTGTGGTGGGGTGATAGCCATGCTGGGGGGACTCTGCTATGCTGAACTTGGTACACTCATCCCAGAGTCTGGAGGAGATTATATCTACATTCTAAAGACAGCAGGGAAAGTGGTGGCCTTCTTGTTTCTCTTCAGCTTTATCATTCAGTCACCTGCCTCTGCCACAGGAGTTGCACTGAGCTTTGCTGAATATGTTGCGGCCCCTTTTTATGGTGGCTGCACCCCTCCACAACTGGTGGGGAAATGTGTGGCTGGAGCAAGGGTTCTGGGGGCGTTAACTGTCTGAGTATCCGCTTGGCCACAGCCATCCAGGTGGTTTCCACAGTAGTCAAAGTGCTGTCACTGGCAATGATCGCACTGGGAGGCATTGTGATGCTTTTCCAGGGCAACACTCAGAACTTTGACAACTCCTTTGAGGGAACAAATGTTGGTGTCAACTCCATTGGAATTGCTTTCTATCAATCGTTGTGGTCTTATGGTGGTTGGAACACTTTGAATTACTTAACTGAAGAGGTGAAACATCCTGAAGTAAGAATTTTCTATTTTTTAAATGAACTATGAAATTCTGATTATGTTTTTACCCAATATTAAAATGAGGACATTTTTACTTATGCAGTCTACTAAGACCGAAGATATTAATTTAGGAGCCTATACCTGCATGTTTTTTTTTTTGTTTTTTTTTTGTCATTCGCTGTTTATTGATTTTGTTGATCAGCCAATCACTTATTAAACAAATCAGGGAACTCCATGGTGCAGCCTTATCAGCCTGTTTACTCGTGTTTTGCAAGTCACAAATAAACAGGTCTTCACAGTAAATTACACAGTGAGTGATAGTGCTGAGGGTAATGTTAGAATAACAGAGCTGCCACTGCTGTTCCATACAACAAAGATCATATCCACATTAGTTATTACATGATGACTTTAGAGCAAGCTTACAATGAACAGCTGGATGTACATACATTTAAGCACAGCTGTAACTTCAGTGAACAGTTTTTACTGCCTCTTGGCCATTTCTGTTTTACCAGCTTGAAGTGCTTAAGTGTGTAGTGTGTATGTAGGACACTGCTCACAACTACAGTGCCTTAACTTTATGCTCTATGATTTTTATAGCCATGGTGGACAGAGAATCTGTAGCCCTGAAAATTAAGGGGACATTGAGTTAATTGGCAGTGTAACACTGTTTTCATGAATCATGACTGTATCTGGTTTATTTATGTCCCCACAGTTTGTACTGGCCTACCCTGTAAGTCCTCGGCCATGCCTTGTGATCAGGGTTTTTTTCCCTGGAGCTGTAGAGCTGTTTTGTTGAGTTGTCCTATGCTGAGCTTGGACCAGTCATTTATGAATCCAGTGGGGATATCATCCACATGCCAAGAATCTGGAGTTCATGTCCTGCTTCCTTTGCAGCAGTCACTTTTATGATGATTGTGAAGCTGCAAAGCAGCCGTCTTACACAGCTATTAGTGAAGTATTCTTCAGCTACTGGTTGTTGCCATAGACAGTATTTTAACAAACACACTACCATCAGAATCCAGGTGGTCTTCTTCATGGCCAAAGTAATAGTGTTGGCATTTATTGTATTTGGATGAATAGTAGGGGTCATACAAAGTAGCATGGTCACTGTGACAAATTAGAAAGTTGAGAAGAACATGAGAATGCATTTAAAGGCACCCGGTACTCTTTGAGTAATCTAGGAATGGCTTTTTACCATGGACTTTGGTCTTATGCTGGCATGTACAACTTGAATTCTGTCAATGAGAAGAAAACACCAAAGGTGAGACAGTGAAATTGTATGTGTTCTTAAGTACATAAATAATGTAAAAAATATGCTTTTTTTAAAAATGCATCCCTCATAGTCATCTGAGTGATGTATGTGTGCATGTAAAAGATAAAAAATACAACAAGCAACAGTTGAAAGATCACAATATTATTCAGCAGAAAATTCAGTTCAGAGGATTTCACGCACAATTGTAATGTAAATAATTTTCAAGTTGGTGATAATGGTTAAACCTGTTAGATAACAGTTATTGTTTGTGGATGTTCAAGAGGAACCTACAATCACCAGAGTGAGCTGAACTCTAACACAAGGATTGAAACAATTGTGGTTGTGCAAGCTGTCATCAAAAGGCTTTAGAACATTTCTAGAACGATCTTTAAATGCTTAGTAATCTTTTACAAGTCTATATTATGCATGATTATTTGTTTTTATTCAACTTTCACAAGATAGTTTGAGTCTTGCACAAAATCTTACACCCTTTTCTCACCTATGTTTTATTCTATTAAAGATTTTATTTCAGACTTTTTGTCGTGTCTAACAAAAACAATGATAACTGAAGACTTTCTTTCATTTACACAGGTAGGGTGAGTTCAGGGTTGATGGTAAATGCCTGTATAAAACCTTACATTTTTAGCTGACAGGTTCTGAATATTTAATGTTAACCTTTAGTTGCAAATTTGTTTTTGTTTGTTGTTGAGGTCAATCTTCCTCGGGCAATAGTGATTGCTGTTTCCCTGGTGACTGGCTTATATCTGC